TTTACGATATCCATTAATATTAAATAACAAGTATTAATCACACCGGTCTATATGAAAATCATGTGTCACATGATTTTCATATAGACCGGTGTGAATAACTTAGAAAAAAAAGCACGGGTTGTTACATAGTACCCATGGGATAAAAAACTCTATTTCTAATATGCTATTTTAGTAAAACACATTATGTAGTTAAGGTTGCGTTAGTTTGTATTGGAATTATTGTGATTTCTATTGAGCTACTGTAAAAAATACTACCATAGAACTTACTTGCTGTAGTTATGGTTGAGTTAATTTGTATTGAATTATCGCAAGTTACTGTCAAAAATTCTGACAACAGTATGTGGTTAATGTTGAGTTAATCTGCTTTGAAGTTATCGTGAACGCTACTATGAGTTGCTAGGGAAAAAAATGGTAGAAAAAAGAAATGATACGGGACCCATATGTATACATACAGTTTGTAAGAATAGATTTAGACAGATAGCACTATTTTTCAAAAAAATGGTCATTAGAATAAATTTACCAAGTACGCGGTATTACGGGAATGGATAGAAACAGTAATAAATTTCATAAAATTGAGTTAAGGATGATCGATGCTAGAAATGATGATTATCGTTATGCTTAGTTTAATGCAAAAAGAAAGTGGCAGTGCTATTGACGAATGGCACAGGTTGATATGAAAAATTGCAGTATTGAAATATTCCGATAATCTTTCAAGTTTTCGATGATCTTAGCCAATAATTATTAATGTTGATCGAACTGATCAAAAAAAAAAGGCTTCAAACTAACCGCATTCACAAATATTAATATTGGTTGATGGTTTGATCTACAGGTTGGTGGCGAATGATGAATGACAACAGTTTGGTGATTGGTGCGAATACCAAATGATGGAAAGATCTACGGGTTGAAAAATTGGATTATAGAAAATCAGTTTTAAAAATTTCCTGATATTATGCTAGTACAAATTTTATATAAGTTAAAGTAATCTAGTATTTTTTATACAGAAAAAAACTGGTTTTATTCAGGTATTCAAATGATTTGGTCAAATAAATATATTTTGTTATAGATTAGCGTTCATGTTTATATTTATACTTAAATACTGTATATACAGTAGATAGAATTATTCGTGATGTAATTTAGCATTTAGGAGGTTGTAAAGATTATATGTGAAAAGTTAGTTCAACTCGATTTTTTTAACGCAATTTGGATAATCAGAGTAACACCAATCATTCATGCATGTAATTTAGCATTTAGGAGGTTGTAAAGATTATATGTGAATAGTTAGTTCAAATCGATTTTTTTAACGCAATTTGGATAATCAGAGTAACACCAATAATTCATACATTTCAAATCAAATCAATTATTTCTTGTAAACTTGATATTTAAATCAATTATGAAATTGTGCATAATTATACAGTATATTAAAATTATACAATATCCAATTGCTAAAAATAACAACTATTCTTAACATTTTATAATGACATCACCAGGATTTCATCATTTAATGAGTTAGAATAATTGATACAGGAGGATTACTGTAACTTAATTATGACATAAAAATAAGCTATGGAAAACTATTTTTTAATATAAAATGCAAATTAGCGACACAATAACGTCTACACCATTAAGGGATATCCATTTCCTTCTCCACGTTTTTCACGCGCGGAGGTTGATCTATAAATCTTTCACGTATATATCGTGCTGGGCCTGCACAGCACAAAAATGGATAGATGAGGTATGGTAACATGCCTGGGCCTTTTTTACCAAACAAGAACAAATAAAGAGTCACGAAGAATGCGTTTGCTCCACCAAGTGAGGTTAAGAATGTAAGAACCTTGAATTGGGACGCTTTACTAAAAGATTGATTAATAAACGAGATTGAAAATTTTATATTAGTATATAATTTTCAGATTATATACATTTTGACATGAAAATTTGTTTAATTGAGATAATTATTTTTTTAAATTGCAAAATTATAAAATAGAATAAAATAAATATAAGAATCAATTCACAATGAATAATGGACTTACTCTGTTTCCTTATAAGAAGTTAAGGTTGATGATTGATTATACACTTCCAAAGTAGCCGTAAATAGAGATGGATTAATAGTTTGCGGGTTTAGCGGGCTAAGATTTTCTAATTAAAAATACAAATTCATAAAATGTCAATATAGCACAAATATTACGGATAAATAATTTTAGGGGACAATTTTTGAAATTAGTATATCTGCAGATACGCAGAATGAAAATTGATTTGCTTACGGAGTCTTGATGAAAGCCCAAAAAAGGTAAACGCAAGCTTTTTTGATTTTTTTGCAACAGATAAAACGCCTCTCTTTGAAGCTGGATCAAGCTGTGAATATAGAACTCGATCAAAAAATAAAACTTGCCTCTACAATTAATATATGCAATTTGATATTTTAAAAATAAAAAAATTATGTTAATTTTTTTTGTAAAATTAATTTCTTGAATAAAATATTTGATAATATTGTTGAGACAGTTAATGAAATATTAAATTATTTGTTACCTGGTATGGTGAAAGCACGTATTCATTAGTGCTATCAGAAGCAAAAACATCAGCGAACTTTGATCCAGGTTGATTAACAACACTAGTAACTAAATCTTGATCAATGAACATCAAGATTGGGTATGATAACAATGTCGGAAGTGAATCATCTGGGAATGAATTATTTGCAGAAATTTGGAAGTTAACACCAGTGGGCTGATCCGGAACAGTTCCATCAGTATAATTGGCACCAATGTCATAATAAATAAAAATATTAAATCCTGATTCAGTGTCATTGAACAATTGACTATTACAGGAGGAGGTGGCGCCAGAATTATCTATGAAAATTTGTGACTAAATTAACGATATAATAAAATGAATATGAATACAAATTTATTAAGGTGCTTACATATATAAGAACATTGAATACTATAATTGGTATAAATTGTTGAATTGAAAAGAAAAAAGACGGCTGCCAATTATAATTAAAAGGTTAATAGATTAGAAATGTCAGTTATCAAACCGAATTACTTGAAATTAAAATTTTACCAGGAATTGGTATATTATTGACGTTTGATTTGGCCATATTTATAACAGGTGTATCAGTGAAACTCAAAATGAAAATGATAATGAAATAAATTATCATAATATACAAAAGAAGAAGAGCAAAGAATCTTGTCCAACGATAACATGATGGTTCCCTAGGTGGATCATAATTCTTATAATCATCATCTGCAGGTGGAAACCAATATTTTGTAAATTTAATACAAAACAGATTACAAGCTCTTTTTCCTTCATACATTTTTTATTTTTTGAATTTGTTTTTTTATTTTTATTTTTTGAAGTATTTATAAGAATTTACCTCAAGGCAAGGCAAATAATGTAGGGCTTTTTATAGGACAAGCACATACGTACGTACGTACATTTCGTTTTTGTTTTTGTTTTATTATTTATCATCAATATAAATTTCATTAATTAAATGCATTAATGAATATCACAATTAAAGTAATGAGTACAACATGTATAAATGTGCGTGGAAAATTTGTTAAGTACTTAATTCCTTCTCTTGGCTGAGTTTGTCATACATTTTAGCAATATTTACATTTATGTAATTCCTAATCGGAGTTTCCTGGTTTCAAATAATCTGCAGCACTTCCTTTTTTAATGAAAAGGAAAGATTTTCGTGAAATACTTAGTGGCGATACAGTACACTCTTGTGATAACAGATAAGAATTTAAATCAACTAATAAATGTAATAAGTTGTTGCCATTCTGAATTATTACAATAATATTTGACAGTGAGAGTTTGTTCCAACTTAAAAAATAATCAAGTTAAGTATACAAATACACAATCATTCAATATTGATTTTTCGTAAAACTGCGGTCCATTGTACATATTATGTACGTATGTACACATCTAATTTGTTTGAAAGTATAAATGCATAAATAATATCAATAAAAAATAATTGATATTTTCAATGCCAAAATATATTCTGCTTTTGCTAAAAAAAAAGTTCAGATTTTTAGAATAACTTTGTATAGCTTTGTTAACTTTCGGACAGTGCCTACCATAAATGATCTGGTTGACATGCAGTGTTGGAAATCGGTTTTGAGATTTATGTTCTCATGGTAACAACTACTACTTAACATATTATATAACAACTAATATATTATGTTGGTATACAATCTGGCTAATCCTATTAAGATCTAATTTATTTAATGTTTTCGGAAATTTATTTATGTTCTCAACAGTAAATTTATTTATAGCCTATATTAAACTCTTATTTCAGAAAAATATCGGACATTTATTCAAACTTTTTTCCGTCTTTATCTTCATTCATTTTCTTTTCGGATGATTTTGAAATTTCGCTCGATTTCTAATTTATTTCCTTCTAGCATTATGCTATTATACTTATATTTTTCGTGTATTATGTTCTCAATTTTTTTTTTCATAGAGAACATTTACAAAGTATCAAATGTTCTCAAATCAAAGGTATGTTCTCATGAGAACATAAGATTTCCAACACTTTATTCTTGTTATAAATAGTTTAGATGTTAAATCTACGAAATCTACGATCATAATACAGTTAGACCCCCTAAATGCAGCCTCCTTGAATGCAAAACCTTTCTAAATGCACGTGCCCAATGGAAGGCCGTAAATGGATGCTGAAATTCAAGAAATAAATCAACCCAATAATTAACAATCAAGTTGGTATTGTTGCAATTTCCTTTTTTGAATAAATTTGAAACACTTTCCCAATATGATAATGTAGAAGGTTCTTTATTTAGTTTAGCTATATCTAAATACGCAATAAATTTAAAATAAACGGCATGTCAGCAAAGATGTAAATTGAATACGCGCAGTAGGCGCAGCGCACATAAACTTAAAGTTGAGCATATTTTATTGAAAATGATTGGCGCTCTGCGCGTACGTATTATAATTTTACTTTGAGAATTATATAGTTTAGCGCACATGCGTTGTGACGCACCCCATAAAATCTGGTGTAACGTGAAATCAAATCAATAAATTAATTCGTTAGTTTAGCGTTAGTTTTAGCAAAAGAGTCTAACCCAAAATTTTAAGAGTAATTTTGTTTTTGTTAGATTGCGAAAGGTAGTTTTATAAGCAAATTTTTTGAGCTACATCCTATTTTTTGATCTTATGATCTGATTGGTTGATCAGATGGGTGCGTTATAGCGCAGTTGCGCTAAATTATATAATCCTTACTTAAAATATATAAAAAATTTTTTGCACATATTTTTAAACATGAGTCTAAAGTTTGCGCTAAATAAAAATTTTTTGAATTTATAACACTGCATGTCAGAAATGTGTGCCAGGTTTTTAGTGCAGACACGTAATTTACGATTGAACCTAGGCAGGGTCGTTATTGGACTAGTCCAATATGTAATTTAGCATTGGACTTGGACTGGTCCAAATTATTAGTCCAATTAGTCCAATTAGGTCCAGTCCAATATATAATAATTGCTATCATATTATATCTTTTGCTTTTGCTTTGCCCATCATATGCTATTAATAAATTGAAATAAGTTAAATATTTTACATTTTTTTACATCATCTTATGCCTTCACAAACCTTCACTTTTTGTTATCACTCCTCTTAGTTCACGTTTAAAATATGTACATGCTTTCAATATAATATTATTGTTATACAAGAAGTTATTGATTTTGCAAATCACATAATTACGAGAAATCGTCTAAACAAAGCCCGACATGTGCTACAGAAGTAAAACATAAGAATAACAAAGAAATAGAAAGTATATTTATAACCATATAGATAATTTTAATAATAAAGTACGCCTACTTGGCGTCTCAGGTACATAACACCTGGGAATTTCATATAAAAAAAAAAAAAATTATATACATTAAATGAACTTCTAAACTATATTACAGACATATAATAATAAGCTTTATAATTATGTCACTACACTGCAGCTCATCTTTATATAGCCTAATCTATAGTTGCTGTCTAAACCTAAATAGTTTGGTTTCTAGGATATTAATCACTATTTGGGACTAATTAATGCCGTGGAACTTGTCCCAAACTTACTTTATGAATTAGGATTTTGGACAAAATATCAAACATATCCAATTTGAACCAATAGTTATAACTATTTGGACGCTATGGCCTAATGCTGTTACACACGTATATATCACATGACTTTTGTTCCAGTCCAATTAAGTTTAATACAATGGTCCAGTTCAACTGGGGTAAAATCGCCACCCAAAAAAATTTCACTGGCCAATCGAATTTCAAGATCATGTGTAACGTAGCACGAT